TAGTCAAGGCAGTAAATATGTAGAGCTTGTTGGTCTGAACTAATTATTGGAACAACCATAACGAGTAATAGGCGGGTGCTACGATTATCGGCTCGTATAAATTCCACCAATGTGCTGCTGAGCCAGTTTGAGGAATACATGGATACCATGGCAAATGAATTTATCAGTTGGTCTTGTAAAATACCTAAGCTTAAATTAGACAACGGCCGTGAAGTGGAAACCCTAAATTATTCTGATATTGGAGTAGAGGCTTTGATCACTGGAAACCTGAACGTGTTCTTCATAACTCCACGTTGCAACAACGTTACTGGCATCTAGTTTGCCCCACCAGGAAAAGGATGAATGTCCAGCGATATAACACTGCGCTGCATACGATGACCATCCCATCCGCTAATTTCAAGAGAAGATCCCATAACTAGTAAAATTTTATAACAAAAAAAATTATTAATATATTATTATTTAATTGTACCAATTTAATCTTAAAAAGCACTTTTAAATTATTTAAGAATTTCGGTTATTTTTTTTAGACTTTTATGCCGCACAGTTTTATCTGCCTTTTCAACCTCCCGTTTATAATGTGCCACCTTTTCTAGAAATATTAGATTATTTTAAGTAGTATATTTTTAATAAAACTATGTAAATAAATGTTTTTATTTTGAGCACTGTACATTAAATTTACCTGATTGCTAGGGCGTATTTTGGGTTTGTTACTTTGACGGACGGCAGGTGTGAAACATTTCATTGCCCAAAAATAACGACCTCTGTGAGTTTGCAACGCCCCTCGGCGGTTGGATATTTATTGTCTAAACGGATCTGCCCGAGTGCTTCAAAATTAATGGCCGTGGCAACTTGAAAGCAGCATAAAGGGACCAAAGGGAGGGCTTTAAAACTAAGTTACCTGCCCTGCCCTCCACCCCCGATTTGGCCCATTGAAGCGTTCTTATCGATTGGGTTCGCGCCTTAATTATGAGTTCGGGTGAAGGAGATTGGAGATTGAAGCTGGCCAAGCTTTTTCACTGATTGCACAACCGATGCTGATTGATGGCCATGATGGCGACTTGTCAGTTAGATTAATCGTCTGGCCGTGGCTAAGCGGGAATCTGAAAGTGCAGTAAAAATCAGCTACCAAGTGCATTTAGGCTGCATGAGAATCTCATTTGTGGCCAGAATTAATTTGGTTAAATGCATTCTATAGGGAATTTCGGGTTTAAAGTCTCTAGAAAGCGACTCCTGGTGATTAATATTAAATGTGCTCGAGGAAAAGGGGCTCAAATCATGCGCAACTTGAAACAAATTGTTGAGCATACCCTGAAAAGCCAAGGTTCGACCCAAGTATATGTATTGTATGTGAGGCAAGTCAAGCAAAAGACTGGGAACAAGTAAGCAAACAAACAACAATGTCTTGGCTGTGTGCATTAAAAGTCAACGACTCGGCAAATGAATTGCAGGCCCAGGCAAATTAAATTAGCGCAGCAAACTGGATGTCCTCGTGATGTGGGTGACCCCAAGTCGAAATTATTTTATCCAACGAACCCGAAACCGACTGTCCGGCTGTCCACTTTATGAGTCGTCGGCCTGGCCGAAAATTTCGCATTAAATATTTAACTCACCTGGGCGTAAAAGGCGCTTAATGGTAATCAATAATCTTCGTGGTGGGCGTGGGACTTAATTAGTCAAATCCAAGGTTTAGTGCGGTAACTTTGGTCAGCGTATAATTAAACTTAATTGAACGTAAAAAAATTCAGCTGTAATGCGATAGGCCGGCACAAGTTCCATTAAATCTTGGGCTGGAATTTCACATTTAAATGTGTAGGCAGTTTCGATTTCACAGCTCAGCATCTGATATAATTGCAGGGACCAGCAAGTTGTCCTCTAAGCCAACTTTAATATGTGGCCAAAAAACACAAAGGCACTCTCTTTGCTAAGAGAGTGCTGAAAGAGAAAGGAAAAGAGCGAGCCTGCGCAAAAAACCTGATCCTGTTGCTGCTATGCCCCGCCTGCCAGGGCTTACGTTGCGTATACGCAACGCCACGTTACTCATATGCCGCGTGGTCCCAACGAAGGCGAGTTGGCGGCACCCAACGCATTCGAACGGTACTCAAGCGGAAGTGCGAGCTGCAAACAGCCAAAATCCACAGTCTAGCATTCTTGGGCGCACATAATGCATATATATCCCCGAAATATATACAAATAAAAGCCCTGGGCGCATTGTTCGCCAGGCATTATGGAACGTGTCTGGGCATCTCTTGAGTTCTCGGGACCCTCTTTTGGGTCGCAAGGTGTTTTCTGGAAGCACTATTAGGACGCCGGCAAATTCAAATCCATAAAAGTGTCATTAGGGTGGCGCATAAAACACAAAAGGTGCGCTCAGAAATTAATTAAAAAGGCAAACTCAAGTCTCCGGAATTAATGGTGCACAAGATTTATGCAAAGGAGAGTTTGCCTTTTCCAAATATCCTTGCTATCCTTGCTCAAAATATATTTGCCTTAAAAGTGTTTCAATTCATTTGGCAGCAGCAATTGCCGAGTGAATGCTGGCTAAAGTCTAGATGGGCACTTCACAGGTTGTTTTTATTAGCTAGTTGTCTTTCTCTGTCTCTCTTTTTCTGCCCTAGAATAGAATATCAAATTTGTTTTCATGACGGGGCGAGAAAGGTCAGGCGTTTAATTTTGCACGCAAAAATTAGCAAAAATAGAACTTAAATATTTATGGACCCCAGGACACGTGGGAGGGTTCAAATTGGGATGTTTCGGTGGTTGAAAAGGGGTAAAGGGGCTAAGGGGTAGAGTCCTCGAAAAATGGACACGACCACCAGGCTTTGTTTACGTTTTGAGCTTTGTTTGCCCCATAAAACAGCAGCCCCAAACGAATGTCAGATTGTCCAAATGAAGTAATACGAGTGTTTGTGTGTGGCAAACACACTCACACAGACGCACACTGTCACACACACTCAGGCAGATTCACTTATACATGCGCAGAGTTGTGGGCAATTAAGCGATGTGCTTAAGCCTGATGAGGTTTTCAGCGCGAGATAAATATCAGAGGAATAAAAGAAAGCAGCCCGACCACATTTGTCAGTCAAGGCGAATTAATAGTACACTGGGAGAAAATACCTTAAAATCTTAAGCATATCTAGAAATCTGTATTTTCCTTATAATATATTTGCTTCTTGTTCTTTTGCCTAGAAAAACAGCATAAACCTATTTTAATGACATTTAGAGTACGGATAGGTATAGAATTTTTTTATAAACATATTTAAAATTTTTGTACTAGTCAAATTTTGCAAAAAACTTTTAAATTTTTAACAATTGATGTAATAATAAAAACGAAATATTTAATGTATTGAATGTAATTTTAATTTTTTTTAATTTTGTAGTAAAATTATTTTAATAATTTATTTTCTTTTACCTATTTCCAATTTAATAAAATAGTTGTAAATATCCCATGGGAAATAATTGTCGTAGATATTTTTCTCGGTGCAACGAAATATATATGTGCTTTGTGGGCCTGTTGAGAGTAATAATTGCGTAGGCATATTACAGTTATTTGCTGAAGTAGGCGAAAGTATGAGATTAATTTGATTACACCCCGATGGTTTTGGGGTGTGTGTACTTGTGGGGGATTGCGCTGATTACTAAGCTCAACTCTATTTGGAAATCGTATATATGTGGTATATTAAGTATAGGGTTATTAGCCACCTGTTGCATTGCAGCCATGCCAATATCGTGGAAAGAAATTCGGAAAACATTAAAGTCGACATTAAATTCCCCCAGCGAGTGGCTTTTCATTAGGAGCTAAACATAAATTAGCTTTTAAGTCGATGTTAGTTGTGTTTGTCTGCTGTCTGTTGCCTTTGTTTAAAGTTCAAAAAGCGTGAAATGCTAACAAGTTAATTGAAATTCCTGCAGCGTTTCACGTGCGATTGTTTGCTCTCACAGGACACAACAAGAAAATGAAAGCTCGCCCCCAAAGGAAAGCATTTCTTTTCAGTTTGCAGCTGGTTTGACTTATTTTTTCTTTCTTTTGCCATTTCCCCTGGCTGAGCAAACACTTAGCTGGTGTGAAAAAATGTAGACAAGTGTAAATTTATATTCCCTTCTGCGGAAGAAAAAAGGGGGAGGCTTCTGGCCACTTAGTGCTGCTCGCCGGGAAATATGAGAGCGCAATGCATAAGTTTGACGTGAGCCATAAAGGAATTTAAATATTTCTCCAAGAGAAAAGCTATTTGCATTGTTTATTCAGCGTGACTTTGAAACAGACAAGGTATCCGCTCTGTCTCTAGTTCGCCAGGTGTGCTGAGAGTCACAGAAACTGGCAAGTTTATTGCACACGAGCGCACAACTTTTGCAACAGAAAGCAAATACAGAAGCTCCCGGCAAACTGGAACTATAAAGGAAGTCCAGATGAAGCATTCATGATACCAAAGATACTACTATTTCCATTCCCTTTTGGTTCTGGGATTTACATATTTCACATAATGTGTATATAAATAAACCGTAGAACCGCTAAAAGCCACACCGCATCAAAACGGCCCTCGGGAATTGCGTCAAAATGAGAATGTGTTGCCGCATTTTCGCACAACTCTATTGGTTTGCGTTTATCCGTACACTGAACCGAAAATATGTGTATTTAGTTTGGTTGTGCCTCTCCCTTTGCCATAAAGCAACTGAAAGTTGTAAATTATTCGGGCATAAAATAGGGAATATAACAGGGAAAAACTTTTATGACTTTACAACTGTCCTTAGCCAAATTTTTGAAGGCCAAAAATACTGTGGTGTTACAAAAAATAAATATGGGTTTAAAAAGTAAATAAGAAATCAAAAATATAAAGGTTGTAAAAAAAATATTTTTTTATCTTTAAAAAATATAAAACTTATGGTGTTTATTTGAAAGTAATATAGTTTCAAAAAACTACTAACTGTTTATAATTTATTTTCCATATTATATAAAACAAATAACACAAATAAATCTTACAAAATATAAATCTAACAAAATATAACTAGGGATTACAGAACATTCGTTTAGCAGCCTGCGCCTGCAATGTGTTGTATTTCTCGATACGTTTATGGATCTCAGAGGTCTCCACAATTTTGTAAATGGTATAGTTATCTAAACGTTGCAAAGTGGCCATTTCCACCTTGGAGGCACTGAGTTTGCAACCATCCAAGGTCATGGCCAAGACCTTAATGGCCACATTTTTGGCTTCCTCAAGAGTGGGATTCACGTATTCCCTGGTGAAAAGTTCCTGTTGCAGCATTCCCGTGGCTGCTCCGGACTTGCGGCCAATGCAGGTGGCCTTCCAGCCACTATAGTTTCCACTGGGATCGGACTGATATAGCTGAAAGCCGAAGCGACAGTCCCAGCCCATGTAAAGCAGCGAGACGCCAAAGGGCCGCTTGCCACCATATTGCGTATACGCCTGCTTGACATCGCACAGATGCGAGACCAGCTGCTCGCAGGGTATCACCTCACCGTAAGTAGAAGCATATCGCTGGGCGATCAAACGCAACTCGTAGGTCAGCACATTTCCATCCGCCGTGTTGCCGGTGGCACAACAGGCAGTGTCCTCACTTAACCTACAGATCTTACAAGCTGGAATACTGGAGTCCAAGAGCTTGTGGGTCACACGTTCGGTGGCTAAAAGGACTCCATCCCTGGCCAGGATGCCCAGACAGGTGCCCGACTGCGAGGCGGCCTCCATGGCATACTCCACCTGGTAGAGACGGCCCTCTGGGGAAAATATCGTGGTCCGGGAGTCATAGAGACGGGCCATTTCACGGGAATTTATATAAATATAGTGGAGTATTTATTTTTCATTTGAAACCCGGTGATCAGTGATATTTACAGGAATAGAAAGCGCGTGCATACTAGATTATCAACAAAAGATTACAGAAAATATTTAGTTTATCAAGCATTCCATCTTATTTATTTGAATAATACATATTTAATAATATTTTATTTAATAATAATATTTTATTTAATAATAATATTTTATTTCAACAAAACTAAAACAAGTTTATATTTATAATTATAATGAATTTTATAAGTACTTTCTATTAATAAAATAGAATAATTTATTTCATTTGTTCATTTAGCTAAAATTTAACTAACTGTGTAGTGGAGGTCTGCTAATATTTTTTATGAAGCGAAATGTACAAACCAAAATAAAAGTTTAAGCCCCCAAACTACTTTTCCATTCCCTTTAACCATCATTTATTCTCATTTTCCGCAGTGAAAAGTGTATGTGGCATTGGGGATTATTGCACAAAGCGCATAAACTTATTAAATATGCAAAATCTCGCTTATTTTTTCTGCGGTAAATGGAAAGGCTCGGCTGTCAGTCGCAAACTCACTGCTCCGCTCGGGGTTATGATAAATGATTTGCCAGCGGGGAGGCATAAATTATATACGGGGCCAAAGGTCAAAGGTAAACCAATGCCTCGGGGGTCTCTGTGGTGCCTTCATTAATGTCAAACTCTGGCTCCTCGAAATGCTCTGTCGGTTTTCCAATTGGCTGCAGTCGGCAAACTATCTTAATTAGTTTCTCGCCGGCCAAAAAGTTTATTCACCCACAAAATAAAAGAAAGCTAAAAAGGATGTCGTGCCTGTGCAGTATAAAATCGATGATCCATATTACGATCCTGATAGGTGATTAGGTAATGGTGATGGGTCTGTCTGGACGCTCCGCACCCACTGAAAAGAGGGAGTGCCCTGGTGGTATAAACGAAGAAATGAAAATGGGAATGGGTGGTCTTAAGTGGAGTGCGCCAAGTCGATTGGAAAGCAATTCGCTTGCCCTTGCCATGCATAAAATATGAGGCAACCAGGGGCCATAACTCAATTTGCTGCTACATGCATCCTCCATCTCGGGCATCGGAAATCTGAAAGCCTCGCATCATCATCAAATCGAAATCGGTATCGGGTATTGGGTATTGGAATAAAAATAAAATGCCTGTCCTGTCTGCAATTTGGTTTAGTTCAAAAGCCCATCAAACTCATTACGTAGCATTCAGGCCTGACCATTTGGGGCCACATTTTCTCCCATATTTTTCTTTTTTCCAGCTGCTCTCCTCTTTGTTTATTTTTTGACAGACGAATCCCCTGAACGTGGAGCGTATGTGACAGAGGATTTAGCACTCAGCGCCAGCTGGACTCAAATCAGCAGAAAAAAGAGGAGGTTATGGCTGATTATGATGCGCCTCTTGTATAACACATACAACACATACGGCATATGAAATATGAACGAGTGAGTGGAGCTCAGCCGGAAACGACCCTCATCAATATGGATTTTATGATGGACATGTGGGCCACTGTGTGAGTTCCAGACCGAAGTTGAGTTTGTTAAATTAATTGCATAAATAATTTACATCACTATGGACGGCAGTCCATGTAGTGACGAAGCGCACCAGGAGAGTGTGCGAAGGCGACTACTATATATACACGAAGAAATGAAAATCTACTGTGATGGTCCGATTATAATGAATGATACACCTATCGAATGGTATTGCGAAAACTAACAGGATTGCATACCAAGACTCTAAGAAAATTAATTGGCTTGGGTGAGAGAGCGGTGAAAGTGAAAAAGTGAAAATTTCGAAATTTGGAGCTGTTGGGGCCGGTGGGGATAAATGCCCCCTCGAAATGTTTTAGTTGTATTCCTTTTGAAAATACCCGTCGAATGAGGGGTCATTTGTCAAAATCCGACGCTCCGTTCAAAAGTTATAGCCAAAATAAGATTTCCTTCGTCTTCCCAAAATGAAAATTTAATTCTGTTTGTCAGTTTGTCAGTTTGTCAGTATGTCAGTTTGTCAGTTTGTCAGTTTGTCAGTTTGTCAGTTTGTCAGTTTGTCCAAAACATGTTTTTTAAGTTTTGAAAACTTGATATGACGTTCATCACATCGATATGAAAAACTTTTGTTCTACCACTTTTGGAAAAACTCGCTAGTTTAGCGGGAAAACAGCTATAAATAGCTAAAATTCGGAAATCCGTAACTTATATACTACTAAAGCTACAGACTTGTGCTGCATCTCGTTTGAAAGGTATTTTTAAATGCTATAAACGCCTTCTATATGCAATTTGTGTAAATGTAATAATTAAAAAAATATGAACAAAAGACAATTTTTTAAAACTTTTTTTTTAGCTTTTTTTTATTTTTCTCAAAAACGGCTCTAACGATTTTCTTTAAAACCGTAAACTGTATAGCCCTTGAGATTCCTTAATTTTTGGTATATAACACATTACTGTAAAAAGTCACGTTTAAAAGTTATTTTTATACGAAAATAGCCACTTTTGCCAGCTCGAACAATTAACGCTCCCTGAGTATTGAATTTTGTGGGAGGGTATCCGAACTGTATTTTAGGGTCATGGAATCAGTAAATTTGCACTTAAGAGTTCCATATAGGAATCTTTTGTTCTACGACTTTTGGAAAAAGCCGCTACTTTAGCGGGAAAAAGCTAAAAATAGCTAAATTTCGTTAGTTTGTAAGTTCTACACTACTAAAGGTACAGACATGTGCTATACCTCGTTTAAAAGGTATTTTGAAATACTTCAACGCCTTTTTAACTTAAAGGCCTCTTTACAGTTCAGATGGAATGTCACATGGAATCCAATTTTTCATACAAATTTCAAAATCTGAGATGGAATAGATTCCATTTTCTATTTCATTTTTCATTTCGAGTTTACACTTCAAATGGAATTTGGTCAAGATTCTAAGAAAAGCCTCATATGTTTAACATAGATTAAAACAATTTTGAATAGAAGCCCATTGGCAGGATGATTTTATAGGCAAAGGTTCTGCCATAGCACAGACCATGGGAATATAACTTGTTTTTGATCATCTAACAATAAACCATTCGTAAACCAATATATGGATGCAGCTATGTAATATTATTTGTAAATATTAGGATTTTAAAACCGCTAGTGCGTACGATTAAAAAAAATATAGAATTAGTGAGATCCAATAATGCACTCAGAAAAGATTCAAATAAAATCTATCATCCATTGTAAAAGCAGACACAATAGTTTTAATTTGCAAATTACGTTTTTTTAAATGTTGTGAGACATTGCAACATTTTTTAGAGATATTTTAACCAAATAATAACAGGAAATGTACATTTGAATACAACAATTTTGTCAGACCAAGCCAGCTTTTTAAAATTGTTTCACCGAAATAACAACAGACTATGTTAACGGGCTTGAAACATATGAAATTCCATTTGAAAAATTCCTACTGAGGTGTAAAGAGGCCTTAATTTGTTAAAATACAATAGTTTAAAAATTATGATAGACCAATTTAAATTTAAATGTATATATTAGCTCCTATGAGAGCAAATGTAAACAAACAAAAACTTCTGATATCAAATAAAAACACCTCTTAACGAGGTAAAAAACTAGTGACGACCGCACCTTCAACATACAAAAGTTCTGATATCAACATTTGTGACGAAAAATTATTACACTCGTCATTAAATAGACTTTCTAATCTTTTCTCATTCGTCACGCTGCAATAGAAAATGCCTGTAAAGGGAAAAAGGCTGGAATAGTTTGCTAGGGCGGGCCGAATAAGAAAATATTAGAAAGTCTATTTAATGACGAGTGTAATAATTTTTCGTCACAAATGTTGATATCAGAACTTTTGTATGTTGAAGGTGCGGTCGTCACTAGTTTTTTACCTCGTTAAGAGGTGTTTTTATTTGATAGTAATTACACGCACTCCCACTCCAAAGAAGAAAGCCCCCTCCCCATCTTCTTCACCGTTTGCATATAAATCAAAATGCTAATGCAATCGAGTCGATATTTGCATTTCCCGTAATCTTGCAAATTCGTAATTACGTAATGCCACAAGCTGATTGCCAGCCGCAGTCGCTGAGATTTAATTGCGTTTCCGTTTCCGTTCCAATGAGTCGTCGAATTCTAACACCTACCTCTTGACGGCAGTTGCATTAAAATTAACCCCTAGTCTGTTTCCGGTTGCCACAAAGGGTTGCTTTCGATTTTGGAAAGGGGGGAATTCTTAGGTAAAATATGAGTAAAAGAAAAGGGCTGAAAAGGAAATCAGGAAGCCATTTTTTGATTTCATTGACATTCGATAAAATGGAGCTTGAAACAAGAGAGAACGCTATAGTCGGGTGCCCCGACTATCAGATACCCGTTACTCAGCTAAAGGGAGTGCGAAAGAGATGGAGAAAAACTTTGATCCGCTGTAACTTTTTAACGATTTAAAAAATTTCTTCTACATTTCGATAGGTATTGATAAACACAATAAAACTGCATTTTTACTTTTCCAAAATATTGAAATTTTTAAAATCGTATATAAGCGATTGTGGGCGTTAGAGGGGGCGTGGTACCCTTTTGAAACAAACTTGCGCTGCGTAGGAACTCCTAGAATCTGCATGCAAAATGTCAATCTTCTAGCTTTTATAGTTTCCGAGATCTCAGCGTTCATACAGACAGACAGACAGACAGACAGACAGACAGACAGACAGACAGACAGACAGACAGACAGACGGACAGACAGACGGACAGACGGACATGGCTAGATCGACTCGGCTAGTGATCCCGATCAAGAATATATATAGTTTATAGGGTCGGAAACGCTTCCTTCTACCTGTTACATACTTTTGCACGAATCTAATATACCCTTTTACTCTACGAGTAACGGGTATAAATATCTAATAAAAATTCAACGTGGAAAGTATGTAAAAAAACTAAAAATCTATACACTTACAAAAATTAGATAAGTTCTAAGCCAATTAAGAAACAATTCATCAGAATTTATTTACATAAGTTGTTTTTCACTGTCTATCGTTAGTATAATTTTCTAAAGAAAAACTATATTTTTTTTATTGGTGGTAGTTAAAAACCACTTAAAAGTATTGCTTAATTTATAATTCAACGATTTTTTATTACCTTTTATTTGTTATTATATACGTAAATTTAAGACGAATTTTTAAATCGTTTGACTAACATAATTAATCAACAGAATAATAAATCAGCGACTGCTCCTATTCTGCTCGGCTAAATTACCATATTACAATCAATTGAGTAGTCATAAAAATGTTCAAAGATCATTTACCAATTGGCCGGGTGTCTGTGTATATGTTAATCCGCCCAATCGATTGATGATCGGCCATTTCAACATCTCAATCGATCAGCAGCAGGTCGAACGACTATTGCATGAACACAGCTTTTAATGACTTAGCATATGAATCGCATTATGGTTTCCCATTGTTGTTGACTGTCCATCTTGGGATCAGAGATTCGATATTCGAGAAAGACATCTTTTGGCATATCGAATGACAAGACAAACGATCGACTCGCTTTTAATGCGCATTGTCAGGCATAAAGAGGCGACGATTAAAAATCAATATAAATACACATCGATTCCGATTGCTATTATGAACGCACTACAAAGGAAGCTCTGGACACGCTTTATATCTGTTTATAGAAACCATTATGCAAAATACCCCATGTGAAGACCCGACCCCATGTAAAGTGAGCACTCATAAAGTTGATTTATGCAGCCGAATCAAAGCGAATTTGCATAATTATAATGGCGTGAACAGCCGAAGAGTCGCCTCAAAGTCTGAGCCCCGAAATCTGGAAACTCTTTTTTTGGTGGTCAAGAAAAAATGGCAAAGATTGCGATGGTATCTTATCTCCAAGGGGCTTGGACGCCTCGTTTGGCCAGATTCTGGTGGCACCTCGTGATCGATCCAACTGGCTGGCCAACTGCATAAATCACGTGCCTCGAAAACAGAAAACCGAAAAAAATACAGAATTAGATTTCACACAAAATAGAGAATGGAGATCGGAGAATGTCTGCCACTGACGACTGGCTTTTTCGGCTGACTATTTGGTAGAAATTTATGTAAATGCATGAGTTGAGACCCTGAACTTGAAACGAGTCGGCGGAGCAGAAGCTACGATCACTTCAGTTTGCTGCTGAGTTAACTGGAGATCGGTTGGAAATTTAGACTGGGAACTGCTTCTCCTGGAGAAAACGTATTGGATACGATTTAAGGAAACATGTACAGGACGTTTGCTTTGGTATGTAGAAAACAGGGACCAAGTATGTAGAAAACATGGACAAAGCATAGAAAAAATTATTTGTGTGTTTTAAAATATTTTTAATTAGTGATTCATAATATTCTATGAGTGTTCTGACTAAATACTGTATGTTTTCATTCAATATATAAATTCTAATAAATAAACAACGATGATTAAAGTTGTCGATAATTTGAAGAAAATATATCTAAAACTGATTTTCCTTAATTTACATTTTTTATATGTTTTTGGAAACAAATATATATATCTCTTTTATAAATTTAACTGAAGAATTAATTAAATTTTTAAATCATCCATTAGAGCATTTTATTGATTTTGCAACTTATTAATTCAGCTTTAAAGATAAAAGTGTGTATTTGCCTAAAGCCAAGGCTGGCGCCTAAAAGCCTTTACCATTTTAAAAGGTTAAATATTCGCACGTCGTTTGTTTGTTTATTTAAATAAGTTATTAATCGACTGTAATTTGTCTTGCAGCTGTTAACCCTTGTGGCTGCGGCCAGTGCTGCCAGCTTTAGTCGGGATTACTTGCCACGCCCACCGGCGACGGCCAAGGGGGCGTACGTCTATGCCACGCCCCCGCCCAGCACGATGGCCCAGCTGCGCCGGATAATCCAAGGTCACCTGGAGCGCTTCCAGCAGGCGGATGAGGCGCACTTTTCCCGGCGAGCGAATGTTCAGCTGGGAAAATCGGAAGAGAGGAAACCGCAGGCGATGCAATTGTGGGTGGTTCGCACGCCCACTCTGCCGCTGATTTCCGCGGCGGCCTCGGAAAACTCACTGGATTACGCGCTGGCACCCAACACACCCACTCCCAAGGACTATGCGCACAAGTTCCTGCCGGAGGGCAAGGATGTGGTACCCGGAAGTTCTTACATTCCGCTGCGGTTGCTGGTGATAAAGCGATGATGAGTTCGGAATTCTGAAATATTGGGCGGCGGCGGCGGCTTGGCTTTTGTTGTTCGAAAAACAAGTTCCGGCGGAATGCCGATACCAGATACTAGATACCCGATACCTAATAGCCAACCAGTAGTTGGCTAATTGGCTTTAAGCTTACTGGTTCTTACCGCTAGTTTAGTTTAGCTTAAGCAATACCTTAGTTTCCTCTATGTTAAGGCCCGCGTTCGCTAATCTAAATTAAGTCACCACATCCCGGAGGTCCGTGACTAAGACTTACGACCTTATCGCATCCAATAAAATCGAAATTAAGCATACACAGCCACATGCCGTCGTAATCTATGAAATACATTCACCAAAAACTAAGTTGTCGTCTCATTTACATAAATTAGAAGACATAAATTTCGAAGTGAGCGGGGAACTACTTGGCTTTAAACGGTTAAAAGCTGCCGATGAAACCGGTTGACTCTGTTGAATGTTAGCCTGCTTTGAAAAGCTCAAAGCTCGGGTTTAATCTTTAACTAAGTTTTCTTAAAAGTAAAGTTCAAAGTTTTCCTGGAGCTTTAGGTTATCATTTATACTAAACTGTAATATCAGAGCTTAAAACATTTTTACTTTCAATAAAATGAACTCTTCATCATTTTCTAATTGCACCCTAATGCTAATGTTCAGATTTTATTCGAATACTCGCCTGCTGATTCATTATCTTCATGACTAACCCCTAATTTACTTTTCATGTTTGTGCGGAAAGGGGCATGATAACCGGTGGCCATAGAGATATCCAGATAAGAGATCGCAGATTGTATAATCAAACGGCAAACATTGTACGCAAAAACTTTTTAGCATATTTATAATTTTTATAATTGGTTCCTGGCAAACAGTTTTTTGTGTATTTTATTGTGCGTAATATTTTAATATGAATACTTTAGCATTTGCCAAATGTATCTCACTTGGTTTTTATATTTGCCGAACTAGTTACTCATCCAAATATAATTAACAACTTTTGGAACAATAAATTGCAACTCAATTATATAGGTACTAAATCATTTATTAATTGATTTTTCTAAGTGGAACCCTAGGAATATTTATTATACACTTTGTTTCCCTAACCTTACCTAATTATTACTGGTACTGTGAGTTGATGACTGGCTTGAGCGTTTTAAAATCGAGTCCGTGGGTATTTCTATAGTCTCTTGATCTTTCTTTTTGCGCAAAGTGAAACAGAGACCCAACCAGGCCCTTTGATTTTCTTTGTTGAAAACGATAAAGTAGAGGAATAGAACGAATCCCTGTAGAGTGGCTGTGAGGCAGAAAAGGTAGGCGAAAATCTTGCCGAAATCAAAGTAAGAACAGAGACCGAAAATCCAGGTAATACCCAGCAGGAAAAATAGCAGCACAAAGAGACCCAATTGTTTTAACACTAGATCACGGGTAAACAGAGCTTTATAGACACTCCAGGTGATGTAGCCCACTAATAAAGCATTGGCTATTGTAATCAGACCAATAGGTAGAATCACACCCAGACTTAAACCATATCCCGAAGGATAGCAGAGAATAGTTGTATCCAGAGTGGAATTACTGGGTCTATAGGAATCGGGCTCTAGAAAAACCACCAACAAAGTGGGCACAACTGGCAATGTCCAGGCCACAATAGCCGACATTAGTATATAATGCCTTGGATGATTGACACCAATGACCCTCACATATCTTTGATACTGCAGAAAGCCGATGATAAACATCCAGCTAAAGACAACCAATAGTAAATACTGCATTACAGCTCCAATTAGGGTGCACCTTTCCGTATCAGTTTGATTGAGTTGTTCCAGTAAATGACTTTGACTCAATATCAAAAAGAATAAGAGTTGAAGAAACAAGGCAGCACAAAGATTTAGCAGTATCTTCGTAGAGGCTAAACTTCGGAAACTTTTAAACACAGCTGCAGTGAGGAATATTATGAAAAGGCCCAGGAGAGATAGGGTCAAGCCTACATTGGTGATGATATCCAAGGTGTGATCATCTTCATAGGTCACCTGGCCAGTCTGCATTTTACTCACTCCTAATAAAAATGTGAACTGGGTTAGGTGTTCTGCATGACAGAGAATCACCGAATGGTAGGAGTTATCCAAGTTGCCACTGGTGGAGATTCCATCACTTAGCCAGGTCTGATAGTTCCAATAGCCACAACCACCTTCGTATTGAGTGTGGTTCGCCTTGCCATTGCGAAGGAAAAATGGCAACTTCTCAGGAAGTTTGGTATCTAAAGGAGAACAATTGTAAAAAATGTTTTAAAAATTATTATATGTTCTTAAAGATAAATTTCTAACACCCACCTTCTAGTCCCGGTATAGTTATAGAGATAACATTACTGGTTGGTCGTCGCTTGAGTTCCTCTAGTGTCTCCACAAAAAGTGCATCACGAGTGTAGACTTTGAATACCAAATACGAGGCTCCCTTTCTCTTCAGTTTCCTCCATAGTTTCTCGGGCAAAAAAACAGCTGTCTCTAGGTTTTCAATCGCCCTAACATCTTCTTCAGTGTCGTTTGAATGAAGGGCCCTAAATTCCGAAGTATTCCCCCTTGAGAAGATGGCCATTCCTGTTATATTCTTCAGCTCTGGATCCACAAAAAAAACACTCAGTTCGCTCGTTTTCAAAACTACAACACCATGATCAAAATGTCTTTCAACCTTAAACTCTGTACTGTTGTTAAGGATGCTGGTGTTTTTCTGGAATATCTTTGAGCCCAGTTCATCCAGATAGTCCTCGAAATTGCTAAGCAGGGAATTTGTGGCATTAACATCGGCTGAAATGCGAAGGGTTTCGTTATCCGTGGTCATTACTTTCTGGCAAATTTTCATCAAATCCCCGACTACTTCAGCATTTCGTTCCGGTTTTTGAACGAGCGAATCGAAAATCTCAGAAATACTAAAGACATCGGCGGCTGCTAGTTTTTCCTGGGACTGAGTTAGGAGGTTGCTTAATTGACTGATCATATCCGGTGGACTCTTTACAGCCAGAAGATTTATACTCGAACTGAGTTCCGGAGCCGATCTGCAGGTGATGTGATCCATACTTTGCCAAACTCTCTTGCCATTGCGAATTTGGCACCTGCGTCTGATGGGAATTCCCCTTTCATTTAGACACAGATCTCTTAGGTTCGCCTTTTGGCCAACTGGCGTTTTCTCCACGCGATTGATGCGAGTTTCCGAGCTACTATCATCCGTTTCATATTCGAGCTCAAAGTCCTCGGCCTTGCAAAATCCTCGATTGCAGTCCTTGTAGGGATTGTGCGACAGCTGACCATCTGCCTCCACGCAGAGAAGAAATCGCAAGTTCTTTAGGTGGCAATAGTCCAGACACCTTGCAATATTTTGTGGTTCTATGGTAAATAGCGGGGGAGTCGTACTTCCCGATACGAGAATTATATAGCCGGCTATCCACCAGAGAAACAGCAGCATAGTGCTGTGATTTTTACTTAATTAATTGTAATTTAAGCGCAGGCTGCGGTGTCGCACTCCCAAAGCTTCGCGATCGACTGACGAGGGAGCGATAAAATGCGAGTACCGATAAAAAACGAGTTTTCCTCTCATTAATACCCTGGAAATAGGGCCTGCAAGAATTGCCACTTTCCTCTCTATTCAACGTCTGGGAATGCGAAATGATGGTCTACTTGGAGCCAAACTCAAGGTCAACTGGTTTATTAGTCTGTAGGTGGTAAGAATTGCAGCATCTTCAAAGGTCGTACGGTGGGTTGTTCCTAAAATTTCCAAAATAAAACGGTATAATAAAATTAACTTAAAGATTTTTCTTTATAATTATCCTTATTAATAATTTATTGCGATATTAATAAAATAATATTCCTTGTTTTCAAACATTACAAAACGTTTGTCATGGATTTTGTTTGGGCAAAGTAGTTTTGTATACTTTTATCTCTTATCAGGGGTGATGAACTCCCTAATTAGGAAAGCAAATAAAGCTGATAAACAGATAATTGGTAATCTACAATGTATATCAAAGTACTAACACGTGGTATAAAAAATTAGTGCGATTCCCAGAATTGATTTATCTTGTTCTATATTTGTTTATATTTATTAAAATCTGAATTTTCATATACTTTTTTAAGGGTAATAAAGGGTTCGACTTCTGAATTTTTCTATTGTTCTAAAGAGCAAAAATAATTAACTCTCAGTTGGGAGAAGCCATAAGTATATGCATGCAACGATCGGTAGCTTCGGGATGTCAACAACTGTGTATGATAAGCAGCCACCTTTAGATACTTCACCCCACCGCTCTCGAGGAGGCAAATGTTCAGAGATAGAAACAATCAAATATTTGCACTCAGATAAAAATATAATCTTGCAAAGATACATGATTTTTTCAAATTAATGTTCCAGGTGTGAAATCTGTATCTGTTGAGATAAGGTTGGTATCTCAATAAATGACAAAAATGTAAAAGATGTTCATAAACAAATAAAATAGAAATGGTACAACGAATTAAATTAATATAAAAATAAAAAGTAGGTACTTTTTGCCAGTGCCATAAATCCCATAAATCCATAGCTTATATGATCAAATCTGTCGATAGGTGGCATTAGAATTAACCGCGTGAATAATTAGATGCGCTACTTGAACGGCTGCCACCAACATCGCCAATGATCACTTGATATTTTTTCACTTTCTGAATAGCCACTTAAGTTTGGAGTGTTCGCGCGCGCGTAGAAACGACGAGTCTGAGTCGAAATATTTTCCGACAATCTAGAGTCTAGACTGTAGAGAACCCCCATCATCTGTCAATGGCGGCAGAAGATGAAGCAGCCAGTTTGTAGTTGATGAATTGCCATAAAATACTACTGTTTCTGTACAGGTTGATAAGAAAAACTGGTCGTGTAATTTATGGAACTAAATGCTATTTTTCTATAAATTCATTTTTTATTTTCTCACAAAATAGAGTTGAACAACCCTACCATAGTTGTCCACATGATGTGCAGTCTAATGAGAAGGTTGTTGTTTCTGAGCTGTGGCCTTTGGCATTCGTTTTACAGTTCTTGGAAATCAATAAACTCTCCTTTTCTCTGGCCAAATTGCAGTATATTTATATTCAATTATTGTTGATGCAAATGGCAGCGGCAACAATTGCGAGATGTCATGACATTGCCAGGATATTATATTTACCTTAGCCGAGATACACTTATCATCGTTTTAACCTCAGGCGATTTAATTTGAATTCTTGGTAACGTATTTCCATTTGTGTGCTTGTAATTTGTAAAATAGAGACTGATTCATGACGGTAATTATAATTGCTAGGCAGTTAAAGATAATCTTGCTTGTATGAATGTAAATTATTTGTTATTATCTGGTACTTTTATAATTATTTTTTTATAGAACAAAATATTTGTATTTAACCTTTTGATTTATTTTTGTTTTCCGCAAAGATAAAAGAATTCCACCTGTGGTGCACTTTTAAATTAAAATGCTTATTTTTGCAAATATTTTGTGTGACCTACTTTTACTTTATAATTAATGTTTTTTGATCGCACTATTATTTGGTTTGCATATTTAATGGTTATAATATATTCATTTTGCTTACGAAATGTGATAAATAAATTTGTAAAAATATTTCCATTGACCCACTTGGAGAAGACGTTCGCTGAAATATTTATTTCTATGGCAACACTTTCGCCCACTTTTTGTTTGGGCCCAGAAGCAATACCATCACTGACACGTAGAGCCCCGGCACAAAAAGACGCAGGACGAAGGAACTGCAGAGGGTCCTGCCGCTCATTGTCATGGCAGATGAAGATGATGGCCCGGCAACATGTTTCGGCTGTGCGGAGTGGAGTACGAGTGCTCTGGCAAAGTTGGTTCCACTTCAGGAATTTATTTACTCAAGTGTGATGCGATTATCCTGATGCACTTGTCCTTTGTCTCAATGCGCTAGTTACGCCCGCCGGGCACCGCCCCAAAAAAAAAAAATAAAAAAAAATAGAGAACCAGGAGTAAAGACCAAAACAGAATAAGGAATATTTTCGTGAGACTCAGGGATGCTAGATGGTATGTGCAGCAATTGAGATGGTGCCCCGAAAAGTTTGCTAGTAACCCCTTCTTCGCCCAGGCCTCTTAATTAAATGCCAGCCAGATAGTCATCTTCTGGCAAGCAAACTTGATTAGAGTCCAGAGGCATTCGGTATTCGGCATTTTCCTTCTGCAGCGAACACGCTCCATTTCCCTGGCACAATGTTGGCAGGACCTCTCGATGAGTTGGCTTCTTTTATTTCGCGGCTAGCTAAAAAAAAGCTCCTTCCCCGACCACAAACCACCAACCACTGGCCACCCAACTGAAACCGGATCAAAAAGATGACTTGTAACGACCTCAAGTGCCCAGAGCAGGCGTCTTCCGTTCTTCAGTGGCCTTATGCATTTTTAAAGGGGTAAGTCATTTTTCTATCTTTATAAAATTTTAAACAAAAAATATTATTTATAAGAAATGGGTCTTTAAAGGTAAAAATTAAACCAGATTTAATTAAAAGTACATTTTTAGGTACACAGGAAATAACCCCTTATAATAATTATTTTAAATAAATATTTTAATGGCTTAGCTTCAGAAGTTAGTGGTTTAATAAGTGGTTTAATAGTGGACTTTTAACTTTAGAATAAATTACAAAAATGTCATGTATAGTTTATAAGTTTTGTAAAATAATATAATTTCTTCTGAATAAATCCAAGGGACTTCTAGGGTATATAAATCTCCAGTGTCCTCTGTTAGTCCCCCCTTTTGATTTCGTAGTTAGATAGCTAAAGAGGTAAAGGGGTAGCATTCCGGCACAGTTTTTGCAGTTGTGCAGAGCCATAGCCCCCGGCCGACTGACAATGACTTTGACAGTCTGCAGGCAGGCCAGTTTACTACGATACCTGGCTACTGAACCGGCTAAATTGTCCCTACACCTTCGTCCTGCCAACTCCTTCACCCCCCTCCTCAATGTCACCGGCAGCCATGTCCTGTCAGCAGCGCAGATGCCTCTGTTTTTGTTGCCAAATGGGAAGCTCTTTCGACCTTTGTGCGTTCTGTGCGGAAACCGAGAGGAGCGAATAAAATAGCGCCAAAAGCCAGTACAATTAAAACTTGGACAATGCGTTTAATTATGTTTGCGGGGAGTAATTAATTTATGCAGCGCTTAAGCGCACATGAATATCCGATTGATGCACTCTACAAACTGCCTCGGCTGCGGCTTTTCTGAGTGCGTTTGCCATGGTGTTTTGTCGCTAACAGGTGCTTGTTTAGCCACGCCCCAGTGCGCCCCATTGGCCGACCTTGCCACCCCCTCCTATCAACCCCCACCCCCAACCATTCCGCCCACCCATTCAATTTCAATTACTGTATATGTGCTGTACGAGGACTTCTGTTTGCCGTTTGCACTGCAAGTGTCTCTAATTTATTTGCTGCCTCTGGAGCGCTGAAATGTTCATCTGCTTGACTGGAGCTGTCCGAAAATCTATTGTCGTAGGTAAATTATGCGTGAGCCATTGACTGGGGACAGAAAACAGGGGGAGTTTGACAAAAATCAGCAGGAAAGTAAAGAAAGCCGGCAATAAATAACTCAGGAAACGGAAGTGGGTGGATGGGGGTGGGCGATTCGCTGGTAAAGCGAATGCAAAGTAAACAATTGCAGGAGAAAATTGAGCGGGTGATTTGAGCCGCATACAACAAATCAAAACTACAAAAGCCGAAACCAAACGGAAACCTTGCAATGGTTGTCGATTGACAATTTAGAATTTTACTTATTTTTTACAAAACAAAATTTAATCATTGCTAAATTCAAAGTATATATCCCATATTAATTATACAAATATTTGTTTAATTTTTTCTAAATACGTTGATAGTCAAAATATACAGCAAACTGAGGTGTTTTTTTGTTTTGATTTTCTCTATTTTATAAGACAGTTTAGCAGGAATATTGAAAAATCAAGTATACTCTACATTTATTTAAATTTAGTGTTAGTTTCTAAATAAAAAATGTAAAAAGAATACTAATAAATATTTTAAAAAATACATTATCTAAAAAAATCGTCCCTTTAACGAAAGATTTTTCAATATATTTTTAAAATTTTAAAAACATACCTTAACCTTCTGAATTTTTATATTATTCTACTATATACTATCATTTATAACCAGGCAGTCGCCATCTGTTGTTAAGTAGCGGAAAACCCTAGAGCGAGACAGAGCTCGAGAGCGAGCTTTCCGCTTGGGAAAGCTTTTCCGACCACCTCGCTTTTCCGACGACCAGCAACAACAAACAGCTGAGTGGGCCAGGCAATTGGCAGCCGACAAAGGAAAAGCGGACAAGTGTTCTGCGAGGAGCCGCCTTTAATACTTCGCTCCTTCGGCAGGAAGCGCTCAGTCGTCGACGGCTGATTCAGGCGAATTGTTCACTGCGGCGCACCGAGTACGGCGGAAAATCGAAGCGGTCCGGGGAAAACTCCTTGGGAAAAGTCGCGCGCGCGTTTCGCGTTCCTTATCATCATCATCGTACGAAACACGGCCAGTGAAAGTGAAAAGTTATTGCGAGAGTGAAAGCAAAACTCGGGGAAAGCAGCTAAAAATAAAAAGCGTAACAAACACACAGATAAATCACAAGTTGCGAATAAACAAAAGCCAGGGGAATCGCCCAATAAAAAAAGGAATCGCGCGGCTCAAACAAATGTAAATTATCCACCCACACAGACATGTGTGTTTTTTTTTGTTTTTTGTGAACCATATTCGTATTTGCAGCACAGACAGCCCCAGATATAAAAGCATACTTCTGTGCGCTCTAATTTATTTCGGTTCCCGGGCAGATATTTCACGCTATCATTGTCCTTAATTTATGTGGTCCTGCGATTCCCATTCCCATTGCGATTCGTCCTGCAAAAGTTGCCAAATAGAAATATTTGCCTCAATATGTCAAAGTTTATTAGACATTTAGCTTTGCGTGCCCACGGCAATTTGCTGACAGTTGTTTTAGTTGGTCGGACGATAGTGAATGTCCATTATATTTGATAAATGCCCAGGCGGACACAGAGTTGAATGTACAATTGCTTTTTTGCCACATTTTCCGCACAGTTCCCTTTACCCAAAAGATGCACTGCGGAAAAAGGGCGGTCAAACTACTCGTTTTTGACAACTAATCCTTAAAGTTGGTCCTAAAAGTCATAAGGAAAAACAAATGTTTTTAAATAGCTTGATATTAAAAAGGATATGTATGTAACAAAATATTATGATTTCTATACTTCGAAAGATTCCTTCCCAAAAACGACGATCTTTTTTCGCTGCATACTTAAAGACACCAAAATAAGACTTTTAAAAGATAAAACTTAATTTTAATATATAGCCCATCACATTAGTTACTCTATAGAATTTTTGTGGATATTTAAAACAACATTATTTAATTGAAATATAATTTTTTCACTGTACAAACTCAACTTTTGTGGAGGACACGGCATCCACATCCTGCGGCCGTCCTGTGGCCATGTTGTGTGCACTGTGCCTCATTTTGTGCCCTGGCCTAATGGCAGGCTCATCATTAACTCAGTTATTGTCAGTTTAGCGCTAAATTGACAGGCAGAACGACAGAGGCCCTTCGGGAAGGGGGCGGAGAGGCGGAAAGGGGGACTGTTTCAACTGGGCCGAGTAAATATCGTTTTGTTTTTACTTTCGCATCGGCGTCATTTTGTCGCAATTATCAAATGGCGTGCTCGTCATCGCCAAATAGCAGTTGACAAATGGCCCCATCGAAGAAACTTTGGCCCGTTCTTCAATAAATATATATAAGCCCTGGCCAAACAAATTGCAAAGCCCTCGCAATCGAGACTTATTTACACTCTTGTCTCTCGCTCGCTGGAAAACAGCACGAAAATAGCACAAGGACCCTCTGTTGACAGTGCCTTACCGTTATCAAAATGCCAAATGTTGCACGTAATTAAAATTCGCTCAATTGGAAGGATGTCAGGATGGAAGGCCCCGAGGTCATTCGCAAATAGCTATTGCCGGTGGAACGCTCCCCTGATTAATATTCCCTGTTCGGGTAATCGTAATAGGCAAACATTTCGGGGGTGGAAAAAGTCAAACAATGACATACATATGGCTAAACAAACAACATGTAGGTACACAATATATCTCAAAACGAGAGGCTCCTAATGGGCTACAGAAATGTCTGCCAAGATGGACGAAAATCGATATTTTTCTCCGCTCGCTGGCTGGTTTGTGTTTAAAGTATTTAAAGCATTTTGTCGGCACGGCAGGTGGAAATCCCTTACGGCTCGACGAACTCACTGTGCTTTTCCCCGTGCAACAACTTATCATTGCTTTGCAGGCCGAAGTTTCCCTCTTTTCAATTGGAGGTAACTTTTCCGGCCAGGGCTGCCATTTTGTGCTCCACTCGTTTATGCCAATCCTGCCCTCAAGGCGATTCCCCTGCCTAGGTAACTCCCAAACTCCCTTTTGAGTTCCCTGTGAAAAACCCAACGTTCGAAATGCCTTAATTGCCCTGCACTCGTCGTGGCGCATAAATTTCGAGCTTCACTCGCACTCACTCTTGGCCAAAAGTGTGTGAGTGTGTGTGTTAGCTGTTTTTACCTGACTTTTGTGTAATTAACCAGACGTATGCAGCCTTTGTAGCCTTGTTTCAGCTGTTACCCTATGAATTTCTTAAGAGAACTAAGTCTCTGAATCAGCATTGTTTTAAAATCATTTTAAAAAGGTGGCTAAAAGTATGCAGCAAAATATTTTTAATGCGAAATAGGATTTTATCACTTTCAATGCATTCTTTTAGGCAGCTTTTTAAAGAAATAGAAACTGTATTTAACTAAAATTTTTTACCAGACAAATAGAGTTCATATATATATAATAATATTTTAAGGAATTCTTAAATTCATCAAAACTCAACTTTCTTGGCGAGACCTAACCCATTTTCCAGGGCATCCATGGATTCGGCCAAGGGAATACCAAGCCCCCATTTTCTTCGCTTAAACTGTGACCCAGTTGATGGCTGAGCTGCGGGTTTCCTTGTTGTTGGTTGCTTTTCTATTGCTGTATCGGTGTGTTGTGCCTTTCGCTTCCGCACGTGTTGCATGTGGCATGCAACAAACAACGCATATGTATGTGGCACACACAAAAATGCAGATGAAATGGCCCTAGAAATTGTTGCTGCCAAGTTTTCGGGAAAGAAAAAGGCTCGGGGCCACTTGGGACGACTTTTATTTTTTTACTCATTTAAATATTTGATTAAAGCAGGCGCTTAAATTTTTGGCGTGGAAAACCAGAGGCTATGGCGTAGCAAATCCGATTTGATATCGCATAAAATATTCATAAATGGCAGCGGTGTAATAATAACACTCCAAACGTTGCTCATATTTTCCCCCACTTTGCCAAATGCGCCTCTCATAATTGTGCAGACCACAGTGTTTACATTGTAATTTTCATTACACTTTTTGCGTTTATCATGGCACTCGTATCAGTTGGGTAAACAAATATAATTTATTACATTTTCATTGTCGCACTCCCACAGGAGCAGTGGAAATCGCTCCCCGGACAATCGGACAAATCGCGAAAATGAAATAAATTGCAATATCAATATTGAATTCTGGTGTCCAATTTCAGTTGTGATATGCGTTTGAACATATTCGTTGTGAAAGTGAATTAAATACGCCAGGCAACGCGTTTCAATTAAGCGAAAACCGAATACGAAAAAAACCCCAAAATGGTAAGTGGTATTTAATTGAAAAATTAATTAGTCGGGGAAAAAGAATATAGAAAATAGTCAAAGTCCAGTCCCTAGAAAAAGTGTCTAAAAGTATGCGACAAAGTTATTCGGAAGACGAAGCTATTTAGCTCTGGCATACTTTTAGACATCTTCATTAAAGATTTTAAGCCCAATAATAGAATTTATTATTTTATCTTGAGATTCGAAAACCTTAATCTAATTTTTCGATTTAAAAAAGACACCTGCTTAAGAAAGTCGTGAAGTTGACATATGCATGGAAATGCTGATCTAATGATTGCGATTTCGCAGCATTTCAAACATCCCATTCCACTTGCTTTATACCTCTGCTTCAACATTTCAATGTGCCCGACAAAGGGAATAAACATCAAATATCGGTTTAGATACATCTTCATCAGACAACCGAGCGGAAAAGCAGAAAAAAGCCCAGGGAGCAGTAGAAAAAAATCGAAAAGCAACAGCAGACACAAACAAAAACACAGAAAGCCAGCACACTGAACCTCATGTGTGGCCAACTAGACGTATGCGTAATGTATGTAAATATATTTCAAGTATTTTGCTTGTTTAGTATTACTTCCGGCGGAAGCGATTGATTGTGCTGCGTATCTGGGCGGCAGAGGTATGTTTGCTGGTTCTTTTCTCTTTCCTTCTTTTTTCCTTTGAGGGACTTGATTTCGCACAACAAATCAAATTGATTGCTTTTCGGATACATTTAAACGAATTGAAAATGCGCAATCGCTATTGATTTCGCATATTTCAAATTTATCGACTCGAATCAAAGCTTGTGTCCCATCTGGGAATGCAATTAAAATCTAAGCGCTCCGGTTTTTACGATTTCGACCAGATACAGACACTAGAGCAGAAGTATTGATGTTCCTTTGAAGAGCTGGCCATAAACATAAATACTAATCGCTTACTGTTTTCTCTTAAATCGCAGTATGGCTTCGTTAACTACGCCCTGGAGCTGCTGGTGCTGAAGCATTTTGGCGAGGAGATATGGGAGAAGATCAAGTAAGTAGCGTTCAAGTGTCGAGTCAACAGTTGCACAAAAACTCATTAGGCAAGCACAATTAAATGGGGTAACCAAATCACTTTCTCTTCAATATGCTCTCAAATTACCCCAAATATCATACGATTCATTTCAAGGTCCTGTGTGTGCGGGCGCACAAACAGATTAAGAGCCACGCACTTAATTAATAACTAAAATACATAAATCCCCCCGCATTTGTCTGCCACGTACCGCAATTAACTAATTATCCATTTTTCACATCGGACATCGGACACTCAGTCGATGGGCGTGGCTCCGCCCACACAACTGTAGATATACATAAATTAATTGAGGCTGTTTGTTGTTGGCGGCGCATAAACAAGCAGGACACGCGTCGCATTAATGCGTACACGGATTTCCCAGGCCCGCAGATTCACGGGGTCGAACCTACAAGTGCAGCTAAAACTTACACTCTTAGAAAAAAATTCCGATGGAAAAATTTGAAAAATATTTTTTACAGAAAATACCTTCTAAACAATAAAAGTAATAAAAACTTTTTTTTGTTTATTTTTGGGTTTCTGATTGTACTTGTAGATTTTTCGAATAACCATAGATTTTTTTTCTTGGCAATAGAAGCAATTCAAGGTTAGTAAAGTTGAAAAGATTTTTGGAAATCGGTTGAAAGATCTTCTTCCAACTTTTCTAAAGTAATTTTTAGATAAGAAATCTACAATTTTTTTCCCAGTGCACCGAGTTAGCGGAAATCAACGCCCCGAAACGGCCACGCGCCTTCCGTGTGGGTGTGGGTGAGTTTGTTTATGGGAGCGTTAGTAGTGTGACTACAGGCTATATATAGTATATACGAATCGCATTTATCTTAATTAAGTTATTGATATTGCTACATGGCTGCCCCTGCGTGTGTGTGTGTGCTGGTTTCAGTGTGCTAGTGAGCCTGAGTCATAGACTAAAGGAGTAGTCTCCTACTAATTGGCCGTGATTTATGATTTTGGATTGCTTAACCGCAAGTCACTTGCCATTTGTATTGGCCACGTTTACAGATTGCTAATGAATTGAGGCAGTCAAGGGGCGAATCGCATCGGGTATCGGCCGAATGGCCCAGACAACCCTTTAATTATGGCCAAGAAAAAGGAAAACATAGCTAACTTTTCTCATTAGAAGGGTCTGCGAGAAAGGAAAAGGTAACAATGGCAACGTTCGCACCACACTGCCAAAAAGCTCGAAATTTGATGTTGAAAGTCAGGGTAAAATTTAAATTAATCAATATTTTTATTTAAAGGAATTCAGAGATTAAAAATGTATGGTAAAATGGGAAAGTTTTACCTAATAAATATCAAGCGTTTAATCCTGCTCGAATTTCAGCAAACTAATTATTTTGGCAGACAATTATGACATTGTAAATTGCATAAAGCAAACCAATAAACATGTAATGTTATTTTGATCAAAATTATTCGACACTTTAGTTAAATTCCCATAAGTTAATGAAGTTTTCGGAAATAAAAAATAAATTGATACCGAACTTTGGTCTGATTTATGGGACTAATGAACCAATTAAAACAACTAAAATATTTAATAAGGCAAATTATAACAATTAAATTTAGACACATATTAATAATGATTTTAAGGACTCGCTTGCCCTTTTTTTTATTGTTTTTTTTTTTATTTTGAAGAACCCTTAAAACATTTTTGAGTTTAGACTTTACCATTTATTTTAATTTTAGCTTAAATTTTTTGTGCAGGCTTTAAAATTTAAATTTTAAATAAATTTAAATCAAGTTCTCTTTAACTTTAAGCTCTGTTTTATAATTTTTTGTTGGTGCACTGTCGACCCTTCAATTTAAATGCCTGCCAATGGGGTCGCCATTGACAGGCCTTTAATTACATTGCAGTTAGTTGGCAGCCACAGTCGTAGTCGTAATCGTAATCGCAGACGTATTCGCAGTCGCAGTGCCTTGGGCCATCGCTGCAGCGAGAATCAAACTCATTATCCAGCACTTGAGGCGCCAAGACAAAGACGGGGTCTCGAGTCCCACGACTTGGGTTCTATAACTTGTGTCTCATGTCTCATGTCCCATGTCCCATGTCCTGTGGCCTCAGCCCGGGGCCACAGTCCTCGGTCCTCAGACCCCAGTCTTCGGTCCCCATTTCTCAGATGGGCCACATCGTTTGTCGCCGTCCTCGCACTTGAAGGCATTGTCAAAGCGATCATTAAAGCGAGGAAAAAGAAAGGAAAAGAAAAGCCGAGGCCACAAAGGAGGGAAATGGGACCCTGGGGAGGGGTTTGTCTGGTCTTCGCCGCCTGGTGGCATTGGCATTTGCCTTGATTGACACCCAGCTGACCGCATTGATAGATATAGATAGTTGGCAGTTGTCTGTCCCTCTCGGTGATTGCTTTTAAAGCCCCGTTCTGCAGGACCTTAAAGTCGGCTCCTTTTCCGTAGTCCTGCTGCTCGTGCTTGCGCTCACTTAATCAGAATCAGTGCGTTAAGTGCTTTATGCTACTTGGTCTCGCAGCATAATTGCAGCACATCAATCTGCAAATGGGTCTCATTAATTTGCCTAAACAAGATGCCTGATGGAGAGGAGAAAAAGAGACAGAGGAGTTTAAAGCAAAGATGAAACCGAGTAGATAGCTCAAGGCATCACATTAACCGAGTTTTGCAGTCTGGCAATATACAGAGAAGGAATATTTAATATAAAAAATTCCAGGGTTTTTAAATCATTTAAAAATGTGCCCAAAAGTATGCAATGAAAAATACAACTGAGTTCAGAACAGCAGTAATTTCTTGGTGGCCTCATTCAATCATAATTCTTTGATAATCCTATAATTTTCTACACAAAAACGGTATTAAAATCTCAAAGTTTCAATCAATGCCAGACATGGTACATTATTTTGATAGTAATATGATTATTCTGGCTTTTCCTTCGTGTGGTCAGAGTGTCAGAGTTGTTCAACTAATACACTCGCCACAACCAGTCCTCCATTCGCGTTATTGTTATTTTCCCTGCCTCTGGCTCTGCTTTTCATCTGCTGTTGTTGCCAAAGTCCCTGCTGTTATTGTTATCCTGCTGCTGCCGCTGCTGCTCCTGCTGCCGATGTGCGTGTTTGTGGCACTTTAGACAAAAATCGATTTGCCTATAAAATGCTTTACAGCAACGACCACAATGCGGCCACAGGCGAGAGAATCGGAGGTTTGGTGCTGCTTGGCTTCTGCTGGAATTGGATTTGGCCTTTGTGCGAGTGTGTCAATATGTCAGTCAACTCTGTGCTCTATATACACTATACACTATACGGTTATATGGTTTATATAGTTTGAGCTGTCATTCGAGCCGTAGCTGCTGGTCAGTCGCCAATTCACGCTAATGGGTTCCAATGCCTCATCCTTTTTTTTCTACTCTTTTCCCGATTTAATGCGTGTGGAATGATATCACTAATTTAGTTAAGTGTCGAGTGCTTTTAGCAGCGTGAAATCATGTTCCTTACACATGGCGCCCGAGCAGGGGCAGGTGAGGTACGGTACATTTCAAGCTGGAAAGGCTTGAAAAGTTTGCCGAGCACGTCAACGCCGACTTGTCATATTAAATGTAAATTTGTTAGACACGTGCCGTTTGCCAAATATTTTTGCGACTTATTAGCTTCGCCGGGAAGAAGGAGGGCAGATTCTTTTGCTGACAAATACTGAAAATCCATCAATCTTCGTTGCGCTCGACTGGAATCTCCATCTTGGGGGCGGCGGTGGAAAAGCAATCAGCCAGCATTTTGTCAAGCATCCTGCTCTAAGGACACTCATTTGATTGCAGGCATTTGCGAATCCTTTGCCATTAAAAGCGCATTTGTACACTCACATCCGCCGTATCTGTGTGAAAGTATTTATATACGGCTTTGATACGCGCCCAGCTTATTTTTTGGTTACTTCGGGCCATTAGTCGCCCGCCCACTCAACCTCAATGACCTGAC